TAGAGTCTCAGTGAATAGATGCTTGTATAAAGGTTCGTTCTGTATTGTGAAGGTGAAGCCTGGCTTGGAAACTTCATTCTGGGTTGACTGAGTGTTAATATTCATTTGGCACAGTGGTTTCCATCTGACCTTTCTAAATAATCTATAATGCTGCAGCCAAGAATCTCTAACATAACTTAGAATCTAAGGTAAATTATTCATCATTATTTCTCTGGGGGGGGCCTTTATAGTATAATGTATAATATAACTGTAAGACATATACTTGTTCCTTAATTATAAGCTTAAATTTATCTAGAGGGGATTTTTATTCTGTAAATTTCATATTTCAATAATTATATTTTACCTTAAAAAATTCATATTAAAAACCATTTAAATTACCACTGGCACCAAAAGATTAGACACAAGTTGAGATGTACAAAAATGAATTTTTAATGGTGTCAAATTACCCTTCTGAGTGAAGCGAAAGCTGACTATCTGTTTAGGAAGTGCAGTGTGCACGTCATTACCTCAAGGGTGTCATGTAAGGAGGACTATGTTGCCTGCTCTGAGAACAAGCAGAAACAGGATGGCCCTCAGGGACACTTCAGCTGTTTGTTTAGCAGAATCAAACTTTTGTGTGTTTGATTTGTGTGTTTCTAGCAAACTCCAGACTTTATCTTCACACTCCATATTACCCTCGGTTGGATTCTATTTATTACTCATTCTCCACTCTTTAGTACAGTGGTCTCTGCACAGTTTATCTTCAGCTATTTGTATCCTGGGTCTACAACCTCTTGTTTAAAATAACCAGGCAAGGCTGGAGAGATGGCTCAGCACTTAAGAGCATTGACTGCTCTTCCAGAGGTCCTGAGTTCAATTCCCAGCAACCATATGGTGGTTCGCAACCATCTGTAATGGGATCCGGTGTCCTCTTCTGGTGTGTCAGCTATAGTGTACTCATATACATAAATAAACAATTCTTAAAAAATAAATTAAATAAAATAATTAAACATCATTTAATATTTCTTTTTTAACTATAGAACTTGGCTCATCATATCACCAGAGGAAGAGTCATTTAGGTTATGAAAATGTTGGAAATACCTAATATAGAATCTGGTGTCTATTTGTGATGCACACATGTAGTTATGTAAAGACTTATTTTCATTAGAAATGTAATGTCAGATACATATCTATTTATCTATATAATGTTAACTTTGGCCTCAACTTTTGCTTTGACTTTTCCATTGTTTAAAAAGTATTTTAAGAGTAGAGTTGAATGTGAAAACAGAATGATTAATACCCAATGCTCCTTTTAGCAACATTGGGGTTCTATAGACGGACTCTGGTAGGGATTCTGTTCTAACCTGCCCCCCAGTGCTCTACTCAATTTACCTTTTGCATAGTAAGAGTGAACTGGTTTTTAGATTTATAAAACCCTTTGTGGAAAACCAGTCAGCCACTTTATTTTTGCATGTATTGACAAGGTAAATATTAAATGCCCCTTATTCAAAATGAACATAATTTAAGAGAACTCTGAATAACATTTGAAATTCGATTTTTCTGTCATTAATACACATTTTGACATTTTGCCAGTCCACTTAAAAATTTTCTTCCAGCAAACCATGCGATGCTATTCAATAAGTTATGCTACTTAATTCTATAAATGAGGCTCCTACTTCCCTTTCTCACAGTGTGGCATAGCTGAGTGTGTTCAGTTCAGCTCAGGAGTGTGCATTCGCAGGTCCCAAACAATCACTGCACAGGCGTTCTGCATGATCCTGGAGGAGGAACAGATGTGTGTCCAGATGTAGCCAGTCTTGTCCTCATTCCCTAGCAGAGGAAGAGACAAGCCAGAATGAATTGTGAAGTTTCTACACTTGGATGAACACTAAGCACTCAGGGACATCGTCCTGCCCAGCACAGGTCTAGACATTCGGCACGTGTCATGCTCTGGTCTTTCCCTTATCTTCTGTGCCCAGTAGACAATCTCAGAATTCTTTGGATCAAGAAACCCCATGCCCATCTCTCCAGCACCATTATGCTTTTCTTGGTTCTTTTTACTTTTGTATCTTCATTTAATCCATAATATTCTAATAAGAATTTCCATAAGGATATGTCTACAAGCCCTCTAGATAAGAACCTAACTAGAGAAATAAATAACCTCTTGTCTGGTAAACAGGGACTTAGCCTTAGAAAGTTGGTTAAGTCTTTTGAGATGTTTCTACTGAGGATGAGAAATACCCATATTTGAAGTGAGTGGGTTGTTTTCAAGTTCACATCAACAACAGCAAGAATTGCCAAAAAGGAAGAAAGCAGAAAATAAATTAAAATAAAAAACAAAAGAAGACAAACAAATAAAAACTAGACAGAAGAAAGAACAAAAGAAAGAAAGCCAACATGGACTTCATATTAAAAAGTAGGCAACTGTTCTATGCTTTGCAGCATTCAAGTGAAGAAAATGGAGAAAAATGAAATTTTGGTCAGTATGATACAGTCATATTGTATGTCAGTATTATGATTAATATGAATTAGAATTATAGCTTCTTAATTATAATTATTTTGTATAAAATTTCTGTGATTCAGTTAGTTTTAGACCCTTTCCAAAGATGAGCACATCAGAGGCTTAGAAACAGTAAATGACTTGACCTAAAGTCATATGACTATTACCAAATACCAGTACTGGCATTTGAACTTGGTCTTTCTGGCTATATGGAACACTATTTCTGTTATAGGTAAAAACATTAGAGCGTTTCTCAGATATCTAATATGGAACTTCTATTTTTCTCTTGATCCTTCTTTTATTTACATAGATGCACAATAAGCTGTATTTGTTCTTATTTTATATATATGAGTGCTTTGCTTGCATGTATGTCTGTGCATCTCGTGTATGCAGTACTCACAGGGGCCCAAAGAGGGCATCAGACACGCTAGGTGCTGTAGTTACTGACACTTAATTAGCTTCCACGTGGATGCTGGGAACTGAACTTGAGTTCTTTGCAAGAGCAGTAAGTACCCTTAACTGCTGAGTCATCTCTGCAGCCACATACATGTGTGTTTTAAAATATGATATAAGCTACCATATTACTGTCAGAACAGTATAAACTATGAGTTCCACGGTCCCTGACGGCCTTCCTCTGTTCAAAGGGGAAGGAGTCCAATACCATTGTTATTCTTATAAGCCAAGGTTTTTTCACATGTGTGTTATTGACATTTTGGACTAGATAGTTCTTTGTTGTGGGACCTGCCCTCTCTGCTTGTAGATGCTCAGCAATACCACTGGTCTTAACTTGGGGGGGGGAGCATGCCACCACCCACTGTGACAACCCAGGGTACTCATTAATACAGCCAAAGCCAGCTGGTCCGGCAGACCACCCCTGCTCTAAAGTCAACGTGAAGGGTCTTTACTGCAAATGCAGTCCTCTGCTCAGCTTCTGTCTCACATATTAGGGATTTCAAACCATCCACGACTTAGGTGTTGGCTTAGCAGAACACGTCAGGTGCATCGCTAAGGCAAGGAGCCCTTAGCTCTCCAGAGCAGCGGTCCTTGTGACTGTAGCTGGCGTTCTCGATGGCGCCAGTGTTCAGGAGCTCATTCTCATGCACAATCACAGTTACTGCATCAGGGAAGGAGAGCATGAGGAATCGTAAACGCAGTTTTAAATATACCCAGTGGGAAGTGGCACTTGGTGCTTCAACTCATTTAGCCACGAAAGCAAGCTGCACGGAACACAGCTAAATTTGAAGCAGAGGGCATTTGGTTCTTCATGCTTGAAGGGAATACCTGGAATTACTGGTGGATCTCAGTAATGTGTATCAACTAGCCTGAGTTAAGTTCTATATGAACTGATACAGGACATTGAAATTCCTTGGTTCTGGAGAGAATGCATAAATATGGAATAAGCTTCTATGTGAATAAGACTGTAAATATAAATTATAATACATTTATCATGCATGTTTGTAAAGTATTTACTTTTTGGTAATATCTCCATATATGATAAGAGAGTTTTCAATTAATGGCTATGATAAGCTTTGCTTGTTTGTTTTCTGTCTTCCACTAAGTTTTATTATTCTTACGGGTTAAATATATTCCTCATTGCCTTAGAATTTGTTCTTATCTTTGCACAAGAATCGTTTTCTTTCCATAACTTTTCTCCTTGTATGTTGCAAGTGCAAAGAAAACTCCATTTGTGTTTCTCTCACCTACAAATCTTAATCTGAATGATTTAAATACGTCACATAACTTGTGTAGTTGAGTCTCTAGGGAAGTGTTTCTCAAGGCTTATAATTTGAATAAGCAAGGTCACCTGGGAAATAGTTGGAAATCTGAAGCTCAGTGGGCAGTATTCTCTCTCTCTCCTTTCTCTTTTTCCTTCCTTCCTTCCTTCCTTTCTTCCTTCCTTCCTTCCTTCCTTCCTTCTCTATCTCTCATCTGTCTATCTTTACTGATAGTTTTAAAGAAAACTGGTGAATTTAAAGGGCGAGCATATAGAAAAATGTTTGGAGGCTAATGGACTGAATCTTGGTTTTGAATTTATTCAACAGAAGTTTTCTGTTTCCCAAGTTTAGTGTGTTTCATGGGTCTTACACTGTCAGAAGGAGTCTATGTAGTGATAAGGACTGATGTATTTTTGATGTATTTTGCTGTATTTTGGCTTGTTTTTAAATTTTGGACTTTGAGATGAGTGTAGGTGGTTTCACATTTAATATATTTAAAATGAATTGATAGATTTTGTGTAATGGTCATAGACTACGTACAACTTGGTGAGTTTATTTTCATGTGTTGCTGGATTTAGTTTCTAATGTCAACTTCCTGGCGTGCTTCTTGATCTCATAAATAAGTTTTCCTAAAACAGTAATACAAGTAATTTTTTAAAATAGTATTATTTCTTATATCCTTAAAAATCCAGCCTTTTCTTATCAGCTTGAAAGATGAGTTGTACTTAAATAGTATATGTCATATGCAGTTACTGAGAACTCATGTTGGAGCCATAGTAATTGTTGACCCTGTATGTTCTTTCTAGAATTCTACCAAATATCTGGCTGGGCAGCTGCCCTCGCCAACTAGAACATGTGACCATCAAATTGAAGCATGAACTGGGAATTACAGCTGTCATGAATTTCCAGACCGAATGGGATATCATCCAGAATTCTTCAGGCTGCAACCGCTACCCGGAACCCATGACTCCAGACACTATGATGAAGCTGTATAAGGAAGAAGGCTTGGCCTACATCTGGATGCCCACTCCAGACATGAGCACTGAGGGTAAGGGCCAGAAGTAGCACTCTGGTTCTTTGCTGAACTTCCTTCATGGGGCGCCTGTTTGTCTTTCAGTCATCTATAACTGAATGTCTAAACTATGAATTATAAAAATGGAATCAGTATAAGGATTTAAATTTAATATGTCTTTAGATACTTTGACAGGATTCCATTTAATGTGACTTCACACGCACACACACACACACATATACACATATTCACACATACACACACACACATATATATGCACATGGAACATATAGAATCTAAGGGGATGGTAAGGGTTAATGAATCAGCTAAAGTAGGGTTTAGAAGCACAATGGGTTGGTTATAAAGACACACAGATATTTTCGGGGGCTTGTGTCGATAATCTAGAAAGGCTTTTGAGGCAGTGATGTTTGAGGTGCTGTCTGAGCAGTGACTGGGGGTGGGGGAGGGCAAGATGGGAGAAGATAGAAGAAAGAGCAATTTAGAAGAATTCTTATGTCAGGAGAGGGTGTGGCATGTTGTAACATCTGAAAGACCAATGTGGATAAAAAACTGAGAATATGAAAGTACCCCCAGGATTTGAGCTACAGTACCAAACAATGTCACACCGCCAGAATAGCTTCAGCAGGGGAAAGGATGAGAAGCCGGGGAACACGAAGGTTCTTTTTGTGTTAGTTTGTTTACTAAAAGTATTTCTATTGCTGCACGAACAGCTTGGAGCTGGGTCTACGAGTCCAGTGAGGTAGGTGCAGTAAGATGGGTGATAATGTGGGAGGTGAGGCCCCGAGGCTGTAGGGAGGAGCATGGTAATGCGTCAACCTAACTGGGCAAGCTTGTGAGAAACAGTCCTTATGAATGGGTTAACATGGTCGGGTATCGCTGGGGAAGCAGACGAATAAGTCATAGTTGTGACATAGTAAGTAAGCGGCAGGATGGCAAGTTCAGAACCAATTACAGCGCAGAGAAGAGTGGACAATGAATGATGCCGTGTTCTCTGGAGATTATGGCTTCTTTCTGACAAGGGCAGATAGGCAGGCTACACGATTTCCATGACATTTGAAGTTGGCCTAGCTTGGATGGGGAGATGTAGGCAGAGAGAGGGCAATGTAGAGGCAAGGAGGAGCACAAACAAAGGCACAGAAGCTTGGACTTGTAGAATAGCCATGTATAGATACGGATAGACAGTTGCTGAAAAGTAGGGCTAACATTTCCAGTAAGGGAACCACTTCTCGACGACAGTATTAATAACGTGTCAGCAGGGGGCAGCAGAGAGCTGTAGAGTGCATGGGTTTGGGGAGTTTGGCGATTTGCTCTTTTGGATAAGGAATGGCAGTGAAGCCTGGCAAGGAAGCTAGAACACATTTCTCCCCAACCCAGCTTTCTCTGTGTAATGCATGCTATGTCTCCAACCTTCTCATGAACGAAATGGATTAACTCATCACCTTCAGAGAAGATTCTAGGAAGACATTATAGTCACCCCACTTTGCAGAAGAAAAGACAGGTACATGACGGTTATGTAATGAAAACGAGGCCCATCCCAGATTTCAAGGGTGGCTTTCTGGCTCACAGAACTGCTCCCAAAATCAGGCTTCGAAGTGGCAACCGCGATTTTCTTTGTACGCTTCAGGCAGAGTCCCCAGACCCACATGATTTCAGTTCTTCCTGTTCATGATTAGTTGCAGTTATACAAAGCTGTGAACTTAGGGGACATATTTATCTCCCAGCAACCAAGAGGTCTGTAAAGCAGAACACCTTGAGGATGGTAGAGAACCTGTGTCATTGGCCAACTTGACACTTCAAAGACCTCAGGTGGAATTTAAGAGTCTTGCCTTTTCTTGAGGCTAAACCCTAAACAAAGCAGAATTTGCATCAACAGAAAGAAGGAGAGATTAGCTCTCTGAAGAGTCTCTCTCTGGTTTTAAATTGTTTAGAATTGTTCAAACCTTCAACTATAGCACAGAGACTTTGATTTGGCTTCTATGGTTCTAATTTCACAGCATTGTTGCCCACCTGGATAAACAGGAGGGGACAGGCAGGGATCAGTTGAGCCATTAATTCTAACTGCTATGAGGCCCACCCCATCCCATGCTCTGCAAACTGAAGGGTCCAAGTCTAAGAGGCAATTTGCTCAGTAGTTTGATGTCATCTTTCTGCCGGAAGCCAGTGTAGTTGTATTCAAAGCATGGTTGTGGGCAGGTCACTGGGTCACCAGGTCAGGGTGTCTATGGCTAGCTCCCATGCAGAGCTGACAGGATGAGAGCCAGGGAGCTCACACCTGTGATAGCACAAACTCTGACATAGACTAAAGGACTCCTTTGGTTCAGTTGGACCTTGACAGGTTATCAAAGAGTTAACCATTCCAGAATGGCAGGGTGACTTTCTCCCAACAGATTAATCTATGTTGCTTACAATTATAGACCAATGAACATATAGATTACCCCACCTGGGTATTTTTAGAACTCCAGGGGAGGGGTGGGATCTGGCTGGAAGCATTCTGAGCTGCTGCATAATGCTATCAGGTGAAGTCTGGAAGGAGAGTCTGTTAGACTCAATTGTCATAGAGAGGCTGCAGTCAATTGTCCTATTGATCCTTTCTGTTGTACATTTTGTCATATAAGGACGGCTGGCTTAGACATCTTCTTCCTTTTCAGTTCTTCTTTTTAAAAAATGGTTTGTCTCTTTCACCTGGGGAATGAAAAAAATCTCCAAGTCAAAGAAATAATCTACATTTGCTCATTGAAACTCCCTTCTCAGGGGGAAGTTCCATTGAGTATTGATCTCTGCTCTGTTCCTGGAACAGCTTAACTCTTTCCTTCCAGTGAGTTCTAAGATTCTAGATATTGCTTTGTTACCACAGCTTCAGTCATTCTCTCATTCAGCAGACTCATTTGTCTGTGCCTTTCTGCCACAACACTGACTGTGGAGCCTAAATACTCGGCAGGCCGGAGCCTGGTCTGCCTTGAGCAGGTTGTGATATAAGCGGGTCTATTACCCGGCAGGCTGGAGCTTTGTTGGCCTTGGGTAGCTTGTGATGAAGCCAGGTCTATTTCTGTACTGGCCATCCAGGGATGGGATCTCTACTAGCTAGATTATAATAGACTGTAGGATTAGTCACAAGTTTAAAAAGGCATTTTATTAATTCTCTGAGAATTTCATAACATGTATTTTGAACACACCCACATGCCTCCTTGTAATTCCTTCTACATCCACCCTAGACCCTGACTTCTTACACACTTCCTTCCCACTTTGGATTCTCTTTTTGTTTGTTTGTAAATAAATCATGGGGTCCACATTGTGCTGCCTATATGATGCCGGGTCAACCTACAGGAGACACTTTGGTAAAGAAAAGTGACTCTCCCTGTTTAGAAGCCGTCAAGTGCCCATAGCCCCCTCAGTTAGGGGTGGGAGTTCTTTATGTTTCTACCAAAAGATGCTACAGATAAGATAGACCCTCTTCTGTATTATATCTCAGATGTGCAAAACAAGGCTTTCCAAGGAAAATAACAATGTACATTATATATCGCCCCCAGAGTAAGAAAGGAAAGATATCCACGTATACTGTGTATTTCTTTGTTGGTCAACCTCAGACAAAGAAAAGCCTTGGGAGGCTTCTGACCTTCCTTACCTCAGGTCCCTAAAGAGTCAGGTGCTAAAACACTCTTCCATTTCTTGTAACCTTGGCTTGTTCAGTACCTGCTTCACTTTCAGGGAGTTTTTAGTCATCCCAGACTTAGATTAGGCTCTTAGCAGGTTAGGATCAAATGGTAGATCAGAGAAGTCATCGTGTGTCAGATCAAACAAGTGGGAAGCCTGACTGTTGTTCCTTGCTCACTTTTTATGGAGGCGTCTAGTGGTTGTTGAGCAAGCATCTACACCCAATGCTTGTGTTAACTTCCGAGGAGAGAGACACAGATGGTGGAGTGTTTTGCTTGGCCTACATAAGGTTTGCAATTTTTTTCCAATTCAGTTAGCAACATTATATTTTTCATAAAAAATGGGATATTTTCCATAAAAAAAAGAATCTGGGAACTGAGGAGGTTGCTCCGTGGTTGGGAGCACCTGCTGATCCTGCCGAGGACTCAGGTTGGCTTCCCAGCACCCACATGGTAGCTCACAACAGTCTGAAACTCTAGTTTCAGGGGATTTGACACCCTCTTCTGGCCTCTGCCAGCATAAAATCTGCATAGGACACATGTGTATAAACGGAGGGAAACAATCATACACATAAGATGACGATAAAATAAACCTTTACAAAAATATCAGATTTTCTTTTCTTTCTTTTTTTTTTTTTTTTACTGTACTGTTTAAGGCCAGAAACTCTTATCAAATTTCTGTCTCTCTCTCTCTCTCACACACACACACACACACACACACACACACACACACTCATGCATGCACAGATTAAACTTACCTTTTGGTGCTCTAGCTGGCACAAACTCTCTTGTATGCCAAGGATCCTCTTGTCATACCCGGTGACTCAGGCTGTCTGCATAGGACCCTTGGATGGAGACTTCTTAGAGTCAGGAAGACAATGCGGTCTCACAGGGTCACAGCCAGGAGGAGAGACTTGTGAGAACACAGACTGAGATGAGGCAGCAGGTATCAGCAACCCAGTGGATGAGGCAGGAACACAGCACAGGGGCTAAGGCCCTGGCTTTGGAGTCAGACTGGCTGCAATAGAGTAGCCTCTTAAAGGTTTAATTTGGATGGATCTCAGGCCTCAGTTACTTCCTGCAAAAGTTGAGGAGAGGAGATAGCACCTCCCAGGTTTCTCCCAGATAAGCAAGACTCCTTCTCTAAATCCTAAGCTGTAGCCTTGCTTCTTTATTTATTGAAAGTAGATTTTTTTCATACAAAATATTCAATTATGGGTCCCCCTCCCCTCCTTCACAGACACCCCGTCCCATCTACCCAAACTCACAATCTTTCTCATTAGAAAACAAACAGGAATCTAAACACACACACACACACACACACACACACACACACAAACACAAAACAAACAAATGAGCAAGAATAGGACAAAACAAATAAGGGGAAAAGGCAGAGAAAAGGCATGAGAAACACATGCAGACACAGGGACACGTGTATTTGCACACCCAGGGAATGCACAGAAAAAGACAAAGCTGGACACCATAATATATAAGCAAAGGTTCTGTAGGGTAAAAAGCAAACAGACAGACAACAACAACCAAACAACCAAACGAACACCTCCAACCATGTCTTTGAGTTAACTGAGCATAGGCCTGTACTTAAATATGGTTTGTATACCCAGTGAGACTCCATCAGAGAAAAGAAATATTCTCTGGGAGTAGTTATCGGTTGGAGATACTCCTGGGATAGGGATGGGGGCTTGTATCCACTTCTCTCAATGCTGGAACTCCAGCTGAGTTAGACCGGTGCAGGCCCTGTGCATGCTGCCACAGTCTCAGTGACTTCCTATGTCTGTAAGTCCTGTGTGTCTAGAAGGGCTTGCTGCCTTGCTGTCTTCAATCTCCATGGGCTTTGTACCCATTTGATCCTCCGGGTCTAGTCTCCAACTCCATCTATCCACAACCATCTGTTCTCCTTCCCCTTCCTATGGAGATCCTTGCTTCCCCAGTCAGTGCCTTCCTCTACACCTATCCTCTGTGGTTATGTAGATTGTAGTCTTGTAGCCCGCTAATCAAAAACTCAAAAGCTAACATAATCATGGCTTATAAGAAAGCATATACCATATTTTTCTTTTTGGGTTTGGATTACCTCACTCAGGATGATTTTTTTTTTCTACTTCCACTCACCTACCTGGGAATGTCATAATTTTGTTCTTTGAAACAGCTGAATATTTCATCATGTGTATTTCATTTTCTTTATGCATTTATTCATTGGCTGACATCTAGGCTGTTTTCAATTTCTAGCTATCATGAGTAGAGCAGCAATGAACAAGAATGAGCAAGTGTCTTTGTAATTGGATGTAGAGTCCTTTGGGTATATGCTCAAGGGTGGTGTAGCTAGATCCTGAGGTAGATCTATTCCCAGCTTCCTGAGGAACCACCATAACCTTTCAGCAGATGGAAGGGAAAGGGTAGTATGTCATATCATCTGAGCTGTTGGAGCAGATATGACCTTGAGGAATGTCTGTCTACAGAGGCCATTTGACTGATTCTGTGGAAGACACAGTATGGCAGACTGGTCAACTGAGATTGAGCCCTGTAGCTCCCACTTCAAACAGCCACTCTGGTCTCTTTATGGATTGGAGATTTGATTTAAAAAATATATTATTTAAGATATTCCTGCCATGGCAACTATTGCAAAGGACTTGTCCAGGGGGCCTAGAACAGGAAGAAGCCATGATTCCATAATTATCAGGGGTTCTCTTCACACCAGAGACTGCTCACAGACTTCACTGTGACGGAGCAGATGGCACCCCTAGCATAGTCACTCCAACACACCCTGGATGTTTGCCACCTCTGATCTTGAGATAAATGGTGGCTATGGCACACTGAGGAACCCACCGGCTGATGTGATGCGTGGATAGGGAGTGCCACCCAGAGGGCCCCTGTGTAATTGTGTGGCAGGCTACTTAGCTGAAATCATGAATACAGAATAAGTGAAATTAACATTTGGGCCTCTGTTGGACATCTGAGGGCTGTTCTGTAACTAATGCAGATGCTTTTAGGGATGAGGAATGTGTGTGTGTGTGTGTGTGTGTGTGTGTGTGTGAGAGAGAGAGAGAGAGAGACAGAGAGACAGAGAGACAGAGAGACACATATAGAGACAATATACACAGAGAGAGACAGACAGACACAGAGAAACTGAGAAAAAAATTTAAAAACTGCTGGGTAGTGCCTGTAGCTTTATACCGCTTCCTTAGAGGGGCTGACAGAATTCAGACAGGAAGACTAGAATACCATCATGGCTTTGCTGCAGGTTGCTTCTGTCTCAGAGCATGATGAACTTGAAGTGAGGTAGGAGACTGATGAGGGGGCCTTGGAGCCATGGTGAGTTCCTGTGACAACTCTACCTTCCACAGTTATTGGCTCCTGGTTGTGAGGTACTGGCTCCTGGTTCCTAGGAAATGGCTTCTGGTGAGGTGCTGGTTCCTGGTGAGGTACTGGCTCCTGGTGAGGAACTGGTTTCTGGTTCCTAGGTATTGGCTCCTGGTGAGGTACTGGCTCCTGGTTCCTAGGTACTGGCTCCTGGTTCCTAGGTACTGGCTCCTGGTAAGGTACTGGCTCCTGGTGAGGTACTTGCCCCTGGTGAGGTGCTGGCTCCTGATGAGGTACTAATTTTTGGTGAGGTACTATATTGGCCCTTTTGGTACACTAGTACTTCCTAAGAGGACAGCTAAGGAGTGAATGCTCCTGTCAGAGATCTAGGCTTCCATAAAGATCTGCAGATTAGAGAGGGGCTTCTCATAGCTTCAGTCATTCAATGGACACCACAACATGAAGATTAGTTGGGTCTGTTCTCTGTAGTCCGGGGAGATCCTTCTGGGGCCATTGTGTCCCTCCTTTATGAGGTACAGAGAAACTAGACAACAATGCTAAGTTGCGGCCACATAGTTAAAATCCAATAATTCTATACAGTGATCCTCTTTTATTTTTTTCCAAAGTAATTGATCATAATACTGTCCACCCAAATACTAGACAGATAAAAATCTTGTTATGGTATCTCTGTAGAGAGAACCTGTGAGCAGATAGAGTAGTTGTCTCAGAGCTCCAAAACTGGTTGTTGGATACTCTTCTCCCTGGCAGAATGCTATTGGGGCTTAAGAGGTTGAAACATACTTCTCAAGATGAGGAGACATTTGGGTAATCTAATTGTCAAAATAACAGCAAGGGACAGTGATAGTGACGATCACAACTTTCCAATAACACAGGAAGAAATTAAATCTGTGTCAGTATTCTCTGTGCTGTGGTGGTGTACATGAGTGGCTACCTTACATGTATTGGCTATAAGTTAGCCACTCCATTACTTGAATGAAAATCAGCATATTAAATTCTGTTTCAAATCTCATTTGTCTAATCAGTGAGTACGACCAGGTTGTTAACCATTGGGGACTAATTATGTGCTTTCCATTTGCCTGGAAGGAAGTAAAATTGAGGGGGACAGGATTTATCAAGTTTTCTTTGAAACCCTCTAAAGCCACTGCCATATCTTGGCAAACCCTTCTGAAAAGATGTTAAAATCCTTTTTCGTCTACCCATGTGGTAGTTAACTTTGCAGAGAAATATGCAACAAGGAAAGAGCCGCTCAAAAAGCAGTGATAGCCCTGGAGTCGTCAGAGTCACAACTGACTGTTGCCTCTGGGATACTCTCTCCCTTTGGTAGTCTCAGGTTTTAAATTTGTTTTACTTTTTCCCTCTAAAATAAATGAAGCAAGCTGTCACCACCTGTCTCCTCTGAGCTCAGTGGTCTGCCATAGTGCACTGGTAGCGGACATGTGGTAGTTTCTCTATTCACGTACTTTCTGTGCTTTCTCTATTTAGGCCGCGTGCAGATGCTGCCACAGGCTGTGTGTCTCTTGCACGCGCTTCTGGAGAACGGTCACACTGTGTACGTCCACTGCAATGCTGGGGTGGGCCGCTCCACAGCTGCAGTGTGCGGCTGGCTGCACTACGTGATTGGCTGGAGTCTGCGCAAGGTGCAGTACTTCATCATGGCCAAGAGGCCTGCGGTCTACATTGATGAAGAAGCTTTGGCTCAAGCACAGCAAGACTTTTTTCAGAAGTTTGGGAAGGTTCACTCTTCCATATGTACTTTGTAGGTGACCAGCCAGGGATGTGGTTAGTAGAAGACCTGGAGACAAAGGCCCCATCTGAACTGAGGGGACTCTGTCACCTGGAGACACCTTCTATTGTGGCTTGGTTGGGCTTAGGTTTGAAATATTTTACAAAGGAAACTGCATGCCACATGAGAAACTTCAAAGCACATTGGCTGTGCAGTGTATGCCTGTAGTTGCTGCTGCCACTGGCTGAGGCCTTTGCTTACAGGCTTTGCATAGGTTGTGATGGATTTGTGACTCTTTGGCATGCAGAAGACAAGAGAGTAGATAAGTGGATTTTATCATAACTGTGAATGTCACACACACACACACACACACACACACACACACACACACTGTATGTGCATACATGCACAAACACAGCTTTTTAGGGAACTGAATTATTGTCATTGCTGGTGGAAGGGATAAATATGTAAACCTGACTAGGACTCAAAAAGCTCCGCATGGTCATAAAACAATGACTTTTTGTAATTTTCTTCGTCTCACTTCACAGTTGTTGACTTCTTCACCCCACTCTCCTAATTTCCTGTCCTCCCGATAGGACAGCAGACGTAGAGTTTGCCCTCTGCTTTTTCCTTGTCTTTTTATTGCTTTTTATCCCCCCTTGAGGCAGAGTTTGTACTACTTGTTTAGTATAATACACGAAGCTCAGTCTTGAACTCATGGTAATCCTCCTGCCTCTGCCTCCTGAGAACCTGGATTTAAAGCTGTGTGCATCCATACTCACCACCATTTTTCAACTGAGGTTTGTTGAGTGTGGCTGGCTTGCCCAGTCTCATGGTGAGTAGAAAGGAGATGAAGTTTATAATCCAATTAATTTGGCTCAGACCTGCTTTCAGAGCAGTTAGGTTTTTTGTTTGTTTGTTTGTTTGTTTGTTTTTTAGCAGACTATCATGGCTGCAGCGTTGCCTCTCTTGGAGTAACATTGCTAACCCTGCAGTTGTTTCTGTGTTGGGAAATGAAACAGTGTTCTGATCCATTGCCAAAGAATGTAGGAAAACAGTTTTATCTTGTTCAACCTACTTTAAGCTGTGGTGTATGTTCTCAAGGCTAATTTATCTGAGCCATAGTTCATGAGAGGAAGAGTCTGAGGAGACCATGTCCACAGATTGTTAACTCAGTATAACACACAATTGCTACTCCTCCCCAGATATGTGCTTAATTCCATTAGATTCCATCAGAAGTACAAACTTCAGCAAAACTTTGGCTCTCAAGATATAAAATCTAGAAACAGAGCTGTGTACCACCCTCTGGAAGATAGTGCCAACTACAACGGATATGTTAAAGGCACAGAAGGGGAGTTGTCTTTAGTTGAATTCCGCTGTGTACCAGTTGTTTCCCTATCTTTAATGCCATCACTGGTCTCTCTGGGAAAACTCATCATCTCTGTTCAGATGAGGAAGTGGAGGCCCAGAGAATTTAAAGCACATGCCTATTTCTGTTGTCATGGATGGAGTACATGAAAAGAAATGCAAACCTAGGTTTGTCTTTCAAATCCTGTACTGCCAAAAGTTAAACTATGCTGTTTAAATATGTTGGTCTGCCTTATTTTCTAAGTGTGTGTTATCAGATATTATGGATGGTTATTTGGGAGGGACAGAGACAATAAGGCCACATCGTAAGTTACGTAGTGCTCAGAAAAGGGAGCATAGTCTCAGCATGGTGACACTCAAGAGAATGTGGTGGGGGAGGGGGAGAGGGAGGGAGAGAGGGAGGGAGGGAGAGAGAGAGAGAGAGAGATTGGGAGAGAGAGATTGAGATTTTTCAGCATGATTACACCCATGGGAGGTGGCATTTGCTTTGTGCAGAGCAGCCTACAGGAAACATTTCTCTTGTAATTTGACAAAGTCTATAAACCAGCATCAAGTGATGTTCAGCCTCCCCTATGAAATATTGCAGATGTAGTTGTTGTGTTTAAGAACCAATTTATGGTTATAATGTATTATGTAAAATTAAATTTTAAATGGAATATTTTAAACTAATATAATGGTGTATTTGTGTGTATAATTTTCTTAATGTCTTAAGAAATCTGATTATATAAGTTCTACTGTACAATGCCCTTTTTCAGGTGGAATTTTCTCTATTGCTTTGGAAAAGTGTTTGGAACTATTGAAGAACATTTTAGAATGACTCAAATTTGCCCTCAGTGACTGGGTTGTTCAGTGTGTCTCAAAAATCACCTAGGAGTTTTGCTAAATAAAAACATAAGAAAAAGACCTTTGCACACAATTGTTTTAATGCTGTCAACTTACTCTGAAATCTAGAAGAGCATACTTTTTATTTATTTTTTATTGTAAAAAGGCCATCCAGCTCAGCAAAATCACCTTCTCTCTGTTGTCCTTTCTCATTAACCTGTGGACTGCATCCATGAGAAGGTTAGCCAACAGAAGAAGGCAAAGGTGGAAACACCACACAGCAGTAAAGGGGAAACTGAAGAATGTCTGGGAGAAGAGCAATGAAGAGCCTGTCTCAAGCCACTCTCGTTAGGCATGTTTTGGGGGTGGGTATGTGTGGGGATGCTGGGATGGAACCCAGCGCCTCACAAATGCTCAGGTACTCTGTCAACTGAACTTTACCTCTAGCCCAATGAAACTTTTTACTCTCAGAGTTCTCACAGGAAATTCTAAGATCTCATTCTTAGTTAAGGAACACCAAGGTACTGTTACTTTCTTCTAGACTTCAAACATATTCTTTTGTGTGCCAAAACTGGTAAAAAGAAAAGCTTAGCTAAACTCTTCCCCCCCCCCCACAACCCCCCCTCCCCCCGTTCACTTGGCTTGTCTTAAAAAAATGTTGAAGAAAAATGTAGTTAAGACTTTGGGAATGAAAAGGGGTGGGTGTCCTCTTCTCTGAGGAGAAAGGGAGGGTGTAATGGGAGGGGGGATTTGTGAGGGTGGGACTGGGAGGAGGGGGGCTGTGACTTACGCTTAAAGTGTATGAAAGAAAGAGTCTGAGAATGAAAAGGAAATAATGAAATGAGATTCAAAAGAGAACTAAATGGGAATTAGAACTCCTCATCCGTTGTACAATAGAGAGACAAGGTGGGAAATTACATCACGATCAAAGTTCCCTTTAAAGGTACTCAAGGACATTTCCTTTGTTTTATAGAGGCAAAAGCAGAGCAGCAACACCCAACACCGTATCATAATGCAAAGGTTATCAGTGAGGGCCAGAGGAAATGGGCAAGTCAGGGACACAGGTCAGGTGAGTACCATGGTGTGGAGGAATAGAGAATGCTCTGCACAAACAAGATCAAACAATATTGTTGTTAGTAGGGGAAGACTTGATGGAAAGACTGGTGAAATTGGGGTAAACAGAAGCAAAAACAACTAAAGTGAGACAAAGCAAAACCAAATGATATTTCTGTCTTAGTTTATATTGTTGGAAAGAGATACCATGACTAAGGCAATGGACTGAGAAGGTTAGGAGGGTCCATGGCCATCATGGTGGGAAGCATGGCAGGCACGGGAGCAGTAGCCAAGAGCTCACATGTGAACATCAGAGGCAGCGAGATATTTATATACATACATATACATACATACATGCATGCATACATACATACATATAATATCTGTATGTATGTATGTATGCATGCATGTATGCATGTATGTGTATGTGTGTATGTATGTATGTATGTATGTATGTATTGGGAATGGCATGGACTTTTGAAACCCCAAATTCCACCGCAGTTACACTCTTTCTCCAACAAAGCCACACCTACTAATCCTTTTCAAGCAGTTCTACCAACTGGGAATCTAGTCTTCAAATACATGAGTCTATGGAGACTTTTTTTTTTATTCAAACTATCACAAATTCTAAAAAGAGGAAGGCAGGTGCTCTCAGGAGGAGTCAAGATTATGCAGGAAAAACATGAGAGCCTCAGGGAACATCTAGAAGGACTTTTTGAAGCCTATAGGACCTACATCCTTTTGACCCAGAAGGCAGAGATCACCAGTTAGCTGTGAACATGGCTTCTGTTAACCAAGCTGCCCCTGACATCCATTGGAAGCTTCAGCCACTGAATGGCTTTGTGACCTGCCTCTGGCACCCAAAATCCAGCCTCTATTTGCCTTTGAATGGCAAGACTTGGAGAGAGGCTTCAACAGACAACTGATATGGACACACCTGCCTGAAAGATTCAAGAACTCACCCACCATCTTTGAGGAGGCACTTTAGGAGGACTTAGGTGATGACTTATGGGCTCATTCCCAAATAAGTGTGCTTCAGTATGGAAATGGCATCCTGATTGTGAGGGAAGGGTTGCAGGTCCTTGGAGACATACCAGGGGCCACATGAGACCTGCTACAGGAGCTGAGTCAACTTGGCCACCAAGAATCTACCAAGAACGTTCAGCTTTGATGATGTGAGATCACCTATCTGGGGTACATATTCAAGGGGGGCTAGCCACCGCCAGTTGGATTCCTGGAAGCAAACCATCCTTAGCTCCCTATTCCACCACCTTGACGGCAAGTACGGAGATTTCTGGGATATGTTGGGTTATATAGACTTTGGGTGCCAGGGCACCCAAAAGATATCACTGAGAAGCCAATCCATTATATGAGGCCACCAGGGGCCAAGAAGTGAATGGACTCCTGAGATGGACATGGCTTCTAAGTCTCTACAAAGAGACTTGTTGGAGAAACTGGCCTTGGCCCTCCTGGACATTCACAAACCTTTCTGCCTGTATATGGATCAGAGAAAGGGGATAAGAGGTGCTCACTCAAACTTTGAGACCATGGAAAAGACCTGTGACTTATTTATCTAAGAAGCTGGACCCAGTGGCCCAAGGATGGCCAGCCTGCCTCAGATTGTAGTTGTCACTGCCCTGCTAGTCAAGGATGCTAACTGTGGGTCAGGAGCTTATTATCACCACCCCTAAGCTATAGAGGGCACTCTCAAGAATCCATCCAGCCAGTGGCTGTCCGATGCCAGACTGCTGCACTTTCAGGCTCTACTTCTGAATCCCCCTCACATAAGATATGACCCATCACCTGCCCTAAACCCAGTCACCCTGCTGCCTGACCCA